GGAGGCAGACGATATGGGAACACGGCTTTTGTTCATGTTACATCTCCAAAGTCGAGGATGGTGTCTGGCAAAGTATAGGTGCCCAGAACATTTTAGATCAAGGCACAATCAAACAAGACCTGTAGAATATTCCAGTGGTGTCTTTTTTTCCCAGATATTTTTGTTCTAGAATAAAACTAAGCAGAGTGTGATATTTTTAATGAAATATATTGTGGCTTTTCCAACACAAGCAAATATATCTTTTTTATTTTTTTTTGGCCATAATTTGCCTATTTTTGTATCGGCCTAGCTAATCTTGAGTAAATGACTATAAAAAATATTGCAAAGCCACACAAAAGTCACTACCACTTTTCTAAACTCTGTAAATGAAGACATTTTAATTCTGGTTAATCAAGAAAAACACAGCTGTTTCTTTCTCTTTCTTTCTGGGTTCTTAGAGAAACTTCACAGAAGACAGAAATGTAGACAGGCAGTCGGTCAGCTTTCGTGAATCAGATTTCATCCTGAACGTCTTTTTTTTCTGTGGACCACTTACAGAGTAGATCACAGAAAGTCAGGTTAGGTAATGGGGACTCTTAACTACAGACCTCTTAACTGCATGGCACCAGGAGCTTCTGCTATAATTCTGCTGCTCCAGATGAAAATTTCCAGTGTTTTCATTAGGTGTAACAGCTGTTTCTATTACAGAGCACAGATCTCAGAGGTGGTGATTCTAGTACCTACTTTCAGTGAGCTTAGAATGCAGCAAAACTTGTACAATTAGTTTTTTTTTCTTAAAAAATATATACATATATATTCCCATCTCCCCCAACATACAAATTAACTCTGTAGTAGTAAAAGGAAATTACTTAATGCTACCGCATTGTCTGAAAGTGATGGGATCATGTTTTGTAGAGTCACATTAGCCAAATTAAAAGCCTTTGGGGAAAAATTTGGCACTCTGTTTCTTTCCCATTCACATCTTCCTAAAGACCTCTGAAGAGTTTCCATTTAGAAAGCTATGAGCTTTACCAGGGCTTTTAATTTGAAGAGACTGGATGTTCTGAGAGTTACTGTAGACACCCCTGGTTGGGTGAAGAGGCCTGGGCTGTGCTGAATCCTAGAAGCTTATGGGGCCTTGACTTTACCATCCTCTGGATGTCTGCTTCCCTCAAGTTATGTTTTCCAGCCTGAGACACCGATCCATTCTTCTGCTATACCACCTTTCCAAGATGGCTGTCATCATCTCAGTCCACTGGCAAATGCACATAGCACTTTTTTTTCTTGACAGTGGAATTTATTCTTCCAACCCCTTGAATCTAGCTAGTCTGGTTGATGACTGCTTTGGTCAACAGAATACATTAGAAATGGCCCACACCAGTTCTGAGACTAACTTTTAAGGAGATGAATGATTTCTCCTTCCTTTCTATTGTGAAATAGGGCTTCATGAGACCCATCAGCAATGCAATTTGAAACCTCATTCAGAGAGGTCATAATTAGGCAATCCAGTCACAGGTCTCAGTTGGTGGTATCTGTGAGTCAGCCATCTTGGAGGGTAGATTAGTTTAACCTTCACAGGATTCCAGGCATTCCATAGAAACCTCAAGAACCACTGATGGAAAAATCTGGCCAAACTATAGATACCAGAGGTAATATTAAAATGTTGCTTTCGGGCTGGGAAGGTGGCTCAGTGGTAGAGTGCTTGCCTTGCAGGCCTGAGGCCCTGGGTTTGATTCCTCAGCACTACATAAGCAAAAAGAAAAAAGCCAGAAGTGGTGCTGTGGCTCAAGTGGTAGAGCGCTAGCCTTGAGCTGAAGAGCTGAGGGACAGCACCCAGGCCCAGAGTTCAGGCCCCACAACCGGACCCAAAAAAAAAAAAATATTGCTTCCAACCAAAGCATTTACAATGATTTATGCTTCCAACCAAAGCATTTACAATGATTACATGGCCATAGATAACTAAAGTAAGGGACAATAGGCTAAGTGCTTCTAGGAACATTGCACCAATTACACAGGCTGGGAGTCAGGTGGAGTAAGTAGCTATTTGTGGGGTGTTGACAGATGTCCATCTCTCTTCCTCCACCTTTTCTGGCTGGTTCTCATTACTTAATAATTGGCCTGCTGCTCTCATGCCACTTAGATTTTTAAATATAAATATTTACTATACAAATGCAAATACTTCCAGGAAGGATGAGGCCATCTTTTTCTCTATAGCACCAGGTAGTGAATATTTCAGAGTTTGTGAGCCGTTGTAAGTGGTTATAATAATTACTAAACTGGGCCAAGTTCATCCAGACAACATGTAAGTGAGTGGCATGGCTGTATCAGTAAAAGTTATTTGTCAAAGCAGGTGCTGGATATGACCAGCAGATTGTGGCTTGCTGCCTTCTGTTCCAAACAGAGCTTAGAGCTTCGGCTCTTAAGAGTCTACAGTTTTATCATTCCAACTTCTTCTATAGCCAACAAATAGATTTGATTCATTGCTTGATGGATTTGCTTGATGGCTAGCTCAAATCCCTTCTGTTGCTCTTTCTTGGGTCTGTGGGTTTCTCTTCTTATGTTTGAAATGTTCACCAAGTTCTCTGCTTCCAATCTTATATACTTTTTCTCAGTGATGTCACCACTTAAATAATTTCACTCAACACCACTGGTCAGTGATGAAGAAATCTTTATAGTCCACTCAGTCTCTCTGGCACCCCCCTTTCAATTTGTATTAGAAATCCCCAGCATTTTATCTCCTCTGAAGTATCTTGCCAGCCCTTATGCTCAATGCAATTTGGTGCCAATTATGATGGAGCCTCTCTATTGAAGCCCACCTTTCTGTGGTCAGCTGTTCTGCTGGGCTGGCCCTCTGTAAGTTCCATTGCTACTTTGCCAGGCCTTAGTTTTTGTCAAAAGAGGAGGAAGAAAAGACTTCCTCCGTTCTCTCTGCTTCCTGTTTATTTCTGTCTGTTGGGAGGTGCCAGCAAGCTTCTCTACAGAAAACCTACTTCAGTCAGGAATCATACATTGTTTTCTGCAGTAGGGGCCGAAGCCAGCTTTCCCAAAAGTTACAGAACACATCCATGGCCGTTCTTCCCCTCAGTTCCCACCCCACCAGTGGCTTGGTGCTCTCCATGGAGATCTGTGTCCCAGCCACGTAACTCCTCCTCTAAGTGCAGAGACCCCAGGGGCAGCGGAGCTTTGGCTCTAAGAGTCTACGGTTTTTGTCATTCCAACTTCCTGCTTGATATTTGTGTTCCTTGAATGCAGCCACCATAACTGTTTTTTTTTTATTCCTTCACATTTTTAGTACCTAATTAACAATGCCATTGTTAGTTACCCATTCTTTATATTCAATTTTCATTCCAATATGTGGTGTGGCTTCTGCCTCCTGGCTGCTCCCTCTAAAAGAGTTTATATTCTTAGCCAGAAGCTGCACCTGTGACAATTTCCCTCCTACTAAATGGCACCAGCAAACCTCTCCCTATCCCTTGCCTCATTGCCTGAGCAAATATCTTGGCATCAGTCTTCACTTTGTTTTCTTGCCTCCCATGTCCCACCAATGAACAAGGTGACAAGCTGTGTGTCTTCTTGTATAGTTCTCATAGTTGTCTGCATCTGTCTTCTGTGCCACCCCTCTAGAGCAAGATCACATTTTCCCTGGACAATCATTGCCCTGTATTTCTGTAGCCCTTCAACCTGCTTGTGCCACAGTGCTAAAACTGTCTCAAAAACCATTTTGATAAACATCCTGAGAAATATTCTAAATCCTTAACTCACTTCAGAAGTCTTTCTGATTTGACTTCTCTTGCCTCGGTACTTAGAAAAATCCTCTTTTTTTTTTTTTTTTTTTTGGTCAGTTTTTTATGTGCCATACTTTCTGTACTCTCTTGGTGTGTAGACTGTTTTCTTTGTTTGGAAATCTCTCCCTTCATGTGAATAACTACCCCAAATCCTTTAAGTGTTGTATAAATATCATGTTCTCAGAGATGGCTTTGCTGATCTCCTAGACCAGGCTATTCTTTTCCAGTCCGTTTCCATAGGTCACTGAACATCTGGCTTTCACTGTCATACTCAGTAAACAGTTCAGTGGACGTCCAGATGGCATGGCCCTTGCTTACATCCATGGCTGTGCCTGTCATTCCCAGCACAGGATCCCAAACACCTAAGGTCCTTTCTAGCACAACAGACATTCAACATTGATTTGCTGAGTTCTGTTGATTTGGGCTTTCTGAGTTGTTTGGGAAGTTGCATGCTCCTGTGGGTGCACGAGAGTCCTTCAGGCTGCCATTGTCTCTTACTGTGAATCCTTCTTTGCTCTGTTCCTCTCATATATCCCAGTTCTTGTAGTAAGAAGAGGCTGATGGAAAGTATGGATCTGATTTTAACTACATTTTGCTGGAGACCCATCAATGCTGATGCTTATGTTTCCAGAGGGTCCCTGAGAGTCATGCAAGTTGCCCAAGTGTTTGAAGCCATGGAATTCTCATTGTTAAACTCCAGTGACCAATGAGGTGATGCTCCTGCAACCACCACACCCTCCTCCTCCACACCCATTTGACGGTTCCTTTGTCTTTCACTGAAATGTTGTCATCGGTCCTCAAGTGACAAAAAATGGGGGAGAGAGTTGGGGAAATGGGCTAAAATGCAGGTGAAAGCCTTACAGGGGATCATTCCAAATAACGAAGAAATGAATTATTTCAACACAATATGAGAGTGATCATGAAGAAGAATGGAGAAAGCGCACGACCGCAGTCTGTTGGAAAGGAAGCAGACCTGAGGGGAGGAGATGAAATACATCCATATTTGATTTGGTTACACTGTCAGGGAGGGAGGGAGGGAGAGAAAGAAGGAGAGGGAAGAGAGAGATAAAGAGCGGGGAAGAGGGAGACTGCATTTACTTCAAGACAAGAAATCAGAAAGACAACACAAACATTTTTCTTTACATCTTCTAAACAGATTTGACCCAGGTGGACATTTGTCTTTGAGAATATTATGCCTTTGTTTGTTTGTTTGTTTCCTGGTACTCAAAGTTTTACCTTTTGGATTGTATTCCAGACACGCTCCTCATCGCTCTTCTTTCCTTCAAGGGTATCCATGGCGTCCGCCATTAGTGACTGCAGCTGTGGCACCAAGATAAAAATGATCACTGTGGAATTCACGCAGAAATAACTTCCCTAAACACACAGATTAAAACCTAATTAAAAAATCATTTGTACGCTGATGATTTTATGACTCATTTTCTCCCCCTACCACGAATGCCGCCACCTCATCCTTGCTTCAGTCATTACCGAAGACATAAAAATATTGAAACAATGTGAAGATTCTTCCTGCAAATTTGTAGACAATGTATAGGTTTTAATGTAGTAAGTGTGAATGTTTGGTGGAAAGAAAAAACACACAACAGACTTGGACTGTAAAGAATGAAGGCAGTAGTTAATTCTTTCAGGAAATGGCATGTCGTACATGAACGCGTTTTAATGTTTTCTCCTGAGGCTAATGTATCATAATTTCAGACATCATGTAAAAACTCACCAGAGGACAATACTAAAATTGCACTGTTTTATTGCCTCTTAAAGAACCTAGCTCGGTTAAATTCTTTTACCATTGTTGGTTAAAAATTTGAAATAACCAAGTTGTTTTTTATTTTTTTAAGTTTTGGATTCTGTTGAAAGGCAAGCTTTAACCATGCTGCACTTTGCTCCTCCATCCCCAAAACCACTTGAAATATTCCAACAGAAAACTTGCCTATAAGTTGATTTTGGTGGTGTACGCCTGGAGTTCCAGCATTGGGAAGGGTAGAGAATCTCAAGTTCAAGAGCAGCCTGGGCCACAGACTATCTCAAGACAAAAACAAAACAAAACAAAACAAAATAAAAAAAAATAAGCTGTGTATAGGTTGGCTCACACCTGTAATCCTATCTAATCAGGAGGTTGAGATCTGAGAGTCACAGTTTAAATCCAGCCCGGCGGTGAAATATAGGGAGTCTCTTTTCTCCAATTAATAAACAAAAACATGGAAAAACCAGGGAGGTGTTGCTCCATTGGTAGAGTTCCAGCCTTGAGCTAAAAAGCTAAAGTAGAACTTGCTGCTGAGTTCAAGGCCCAGTATTGGTACCAAACCACCCCATCCCCAAAATAAAAACCCCAACACACACACACACACACACACACACACACACACACACACACACACACACACACACACACACTAAAAGGAAACAATCCAACATACTTGAAGCTGCATCAAGTCCTGTGACATTGAAAGACTATTTTTTTTTTAATGAAAGAACAAAATGAGCATTAAATGGTATAAACTCTTGGATCATGTCTTTGATTAGGTACAGTGGAGCTTTGTTAGGAAGGCAGACAGATGTTACTCAAATACCTTTAGTTGAGCACCTTTCGTGTACAGCACTGTATGAGCTATTAACAGAATTGCTTTTTAGGTTAACCCATCCTTGAAAGTTGGAATATAAACTCTATTACTTAAGATGATGAAATCTTGAAAGGTAACATGCTTCTAAAATATTTGGCTTACAATGTACCTCCCTTTATATATTTTTATACCTTTTTTTGTTTTATAGCCCTCTTTATATCTTTTTTGGTATTTTTTATGGTAGGTGTATAAATTATGAAAATATCCCATAAAATCTCATTTTTCCAAACTTTTAGATGCTAAAAAATTGTGCATTTGGTAGGGATAGCAGTGATGCAGTTTTGTATTCTTTGTGTGAATTGTGAAAAATAAGTATTTCCACCGATGTGTGGTTAAGCAGAATTAAGCACAGAGAACTCCCTTATATTTTTCAATTTGATCTTAAATGTGCTTTTCAGGAAGACTGGATCAACATTTTGTTGGTCTTCTGAATTAACATTTTCTTTGCTTTCTCTTATCTCAGAAGAGCATTAGTTATCTCAAATTGGCTATGAGAGTTCTCTGAAAACAATATTCCTGAATACCTCATGAACACAGAATAAACAGCCTCTTAGAAGGTGCTCCCCTGTTCATAACTGTAAGGGTTTAGGAAATGTTATTGCCAGTTTTGACTCAGTAATTCTTTGATTAATGGATATATGTCACCATTTTCATCATGAGTATGCACAGATTTATTATTTGGCTAGGCAGACCATTTCACCTGCTTCCTCTGAATAGCAGTATTTAACAAACTTTCAACAGGTTTAGATGAACATTATAAATGCTGGAAGCTCATTTCTTGATTACATATATATCTTTAAAATGTAGGGAGGGTTCCTTGGGTTATCTGAAAATTACAGGTAATTGGTCTAGGCTATTCTCATCCTTGCTGTGTGAATTCAATTCAGGTCTATAATGAGTTTTAGCTACTCTCAATAATAGCTTTGAAGTAAAGATCCTTTCCTTACCACACATGAGCATCTCCACATAGAGTATATTTTACCTTTCCTTCAATTGACAGCACCTTGTTCAACAATTGTTTTTCAAATGAGATGCTATAATTTCTACTATTTATTATGATTATAGCACACACACTGGTTTGAAGATGGTTTCTGCCACCTATTCCTTTAGTTTCCGACTAGGTTTGCTTAAGGTCAGAAATGTCTGGCTTTCTGAGTAAGTTCAGCTTAAAACAAACCCAAACCCTACTAGCTATTTTAACTAACCCACATCCACCAAATAACACTTCATCTAAGTGTCAGCATTGCTGATGTATATGGTACAACTAAAGATGAATAAAAGAATGTGAATATATGAATAATTAGTCCATCTCTGTCATTTTCTCTCTCTCTCTTTCTCTCAGTTATTGCTAGATTAAAAGGGAACTGGTCGACGTGAGCAAGAATAACCAGACACACCCCTGCACATCCTAGTTTCTTCCTTAGGGTTCTTTATGATGGGTGGAATTTCATGATGGCTGGAATTTGCTTTCAGACTCTATTCTCACAGTTCAGTTCTTTTATCAGACCGTATCACTCTTCTGCTGGCCCCCATCCTGTAAAAGCCTTAAACAAAAGAGAACAAATACTTACCAGGTCTGCCTCCTGTTGACTGATGTCCTGTAGATAGGGAATGGTGGCTAGCTCCGCCATGGCTTGGTTCGTCACCTGGGACTGCTCTTTTACCCTCTGCAGCTGGCTCAGGAGGCTGGCATAATGCAGCTTCTCCATCACGCCGGGGCACCCGCAGCAGCTCCCCTGCCCTCGCAGGAGGGACAGAAAGAGAAAGGACATGTTTGAAAATGAGACCACAGAAACAGACCTCTCCCTGGGGACTGAAGTCGGGGCTTGGTATTATCTATTTACATATTTTGAAGCAAAAGTATTTAGGACAAGTAAGTGTTTCTTGCTTCCATTTTAGAAAGGGTTCTATTTGTTTCTGTCAAGTAGGCAAATGCACGTAAAAGGGAGTCCCGTTTGCAGGACTGTTGAGGTGGGTTTGCTGGTTGCTCTGCATTCAGGATCTAGGATGAAAGGGGAAGATAAGACAAATTGTGGGATGGGAAGGGGAAACAAAGGAGGAGGCAACAATGCTTGATAAGAAATGTACTCATTTTTTTGCCCATGTAATTGGAACCCCGCTGTACGGTATTTTCACAATTAAAACAAAAGACTGAAATTGTACCTATAACCTGTGGAAGGGGGAAGGGGATTAGGGAGAGATTGATTGAATTACATTGCATGTAGGAAGTGGAAAGTCACAATGAAATCCCCTGCCCCAGTGTAGAGCCAGTGAATGCAGTAAGGAAATATTAGGGGGGGCTGGGAGTGTGGCTTAGTGGTAGAGTGCTTGTCTAGTAGGCATGAAGCCCTGAGTTCAATTCCACAGTACCACATAAACAGAAAAAAGCCAGAAGTAGTGCTGTGGCTTGAGTGGCAGAGTGCTAGCCCTGAGCAAAGAAGCTCAGGGACAGTGAAGTTAGTCAGGCCAGAGAGACAAAGGACACATGTTGTTTTCTCTCATATGTGGAAGTTAGACCTAAGTCACATAAAACATATTAACTGAAGCATTGTGTATCCCAATGGTGTAACTCCTTTCAATGAATTTACAGTTTAGCAGTCTGAATACCACTAAGCTGAAAACTTATGCTGTCGGGGAGGTGAGGTGAAGGGGAAGGGAGGGTGGGCAAATGGAGAGAGGAAGGGTGGGTGAAGTAGTCATGATATTTAATGTACCCTTGTGAAAATGGAACCAGGTAGCGTGAGAGGATGGATGGGTTGAAGCAGATGGGGAGAAATGATGTAAGGGATGACATTGATCAAGATGCGTTGTACTCATAAGCTGACGTGTTGAATTGAACCCCCTTTGTGCAACTACTGAAAGATAGCAAAAGTAAATAAAACAGTTGCACAAAACCAAACCGAACCAAACCAAAAATATGCTTGTCCTCTTATATAGTGTTCTCATAGGGCTGTGTTCTCCTATAGGAAGTGACTTTATTTACCTTACCAAACCACTGTAGCAAGTACGGGTTGCTTCTTATTGCTGTGTTGGTATCAAAGACAATTTTCACCTGCATGGAATTAGGTTCACCCTGGTAGTTTACATGAAGCCCACCAGCTCTGCTTTTACTTTTAGTTCTCCTTGGATGGATTCTTTCCCCACTGGTAGCAATTTACTTTGGCTCCTTTGGCCATTTCAACCGCAAGCATGACACACCCTTGAAGTAGAGGAGTACTCTGTACCATTGTAAGAACCCTCCCCCTGCTTCTACTCCCATGAATCAACAGGATTTTAAGCTTTCTTAGGATTGGACAACTCAGACCTCCAGCTCATTGGCTTCCCCAGTTACCCACAGAAGAGGAGAAACCACTTTTCTGAAAAGTTTCATACAAAGCGTAAGCTTGATGTGAGAGAAAAAGTTTATCTTCAACTTCCTATTGTCATCTTTAAGAAAAGGTACTTCTGACATAAGGGTTCAAATCCAGGTTCAAGATTTAAAGCTTGGAATTTTGTGGCTTGGAGGGTGCTGACAAGTGGGAAATTACAGGAAGGCTTAGCTTGGCATTTGCACTCCACATCCGGATGCTTAGATGAGGAAGGCTGGGTGACCAGGACTGGACTGTCTGTACCAGAATGTTTTGACTTATTTGCTAGCTAGACAGTTAGTAGTATCTTGAGTTTCACTGGGAAAATCACAATATTTTGTTCCTGGAAATGTTAACTACACAGGTGACTCCCCAAAGTATTTAAAATCTTAAGTAGATTAAGGACAAGCTACCACTTTTAGAGGTTTACATCTGGTAAGGGCTATTTTCTTCTGCGAGTACTCATTTTTATTTCTTTACCTTGACCTCAGGTTTTCACACTCTGCCTCGATTTTTCACTTAAGGTTGGAATTGTACCCTTTTAGCCACACTGCCACTTCCAGCATTTTGGTAGTTTATTGGGGATAAGATTCTCATGGACTTTCCTGCCAAGGCTGGCTTTGAACTATGATCCTTACGTCTCAGCCTGTTGAGTAGCCAGGATTACAGGCATGAACCACCAGTGACCAACTTCATTAGTGATACATATAAAACAGGACTTCTTTCAGAAATCACAGAGAGAAGACAGTTGATTTCTTTCTTAAATGAAATTTTCCTTTAAAGAGAAAAATGGTTAGAAAGCAGCACTACCAAAGATCATCTGAACTTCCCCATGAAATTAGAAAGTCACTTTCTGAAATGTCACACTTCCATTTTGACTGATAGCTTCGAGATGCCGACATTTTTGTAGAATCTGGGAAATAAAGGAAGGCTAGGCACCAATGCACTGCATTTGCTTTCTTTCTTCCTAAGACCCATCGGTGCCATTCAAGTAATGTCCTCTATTCCCACTAATTTATTTTTCTTGATTAGCTGTTGATTTGAAAATCTATAAACCTCTAAGAGGATCACAAATAGTGGATTTGAGATCCTTGCCTGCATTGATGAAATGGCTAGTCTACCATTCAGCGTAGATGTGTAGCTGAACAATGGCGTTCTGTCAAATCGAGGGAAGCAAGTTGGGGTGCGGGGAGAAACAGTTTTCTTTTGGAAGAAAAATTGCTTTCTTTGTCCTTCTTTAAAAGAAAACAATGGGGCTAGTTGTAGGAACGTGGTTTAGAGCAGAAACAACTGCAGCCTGCTTGGGAACATAATCTATTAGTGTAATTTTCCCAAACATCAGGAAAATGAAAATAGTGGCAGGCCGCTGGGCTTTGTTAGCTTGATTGTATGATGCATAACAAAGCAGGAAGCGCTCCACAAGAATAAGACGCTAGCAAAGGAACAGAGTTGACTGCTAATTGTCACTGCCTTCCTCTAACCCCCCTCCATCAAATTGAATAGCAATTGTGTTTATCAGGAAGTGATCGATTTGGAGAAGTAAGAGAGGAGAGATTTGAAAGACATAGTTTAAAAAAAAAGGTGAAAATCAGTATCTAATGCCAACAGGAATGTTTTAATGCTGTAGCTTTAAGATAGTAAGCAAGAGTAAAATTGTGAAAAGTGAAGGAACTAGCTTGAACTTCCAAAGCTACCAAAGGGGAAGTAGGAAGCCTTGGGAGGCTACCTCCTAAGGAAAGTCTAGGAGCCATCGAAGGGCTCCTTAGCTGCCAGGAAGAGTGAAATAAAGTGGCCAAGAAGTCTGACACCAGAAGCTCACACCTGTAATCCTAGCTACTCAGGAGGCTGAGATCTGAGGATCACAGTTCAAAGCCAGCCTAGTCAGGAAAGTCCATGAGTCTCTTACTTCCACTAAGCTCTCAAAAAAAGGTGAAAGTGGAGCTGTAGCTTAAGTGGTACAGCGCTAGCCTTGAGCCCAGGACTGGCACACACACACACACACACACACACACACACACACACACACGTGCAAAATGGCTAAGATTGAAGTGAAAACCATATATAGGTCTAATGATGGTTAGGCAAACATCAAGTTCAAATGAAGCCTTCAGTATCAGAATTGCCTAGATTTAGTAGCAGTAATGGGTAAATGTCTGGTTCCTTAGTAGCACTCAGTAATACAGCTGAAAAGGAGACTATGCGTTTTGGAATCTATTTCTGCTTGGCATACATATGGAAACATTAATTGCAAAAAAAATGTGTGTGTAAGTGGGGTAGGAGACATTATTGTGCATGTGTAAAGATTTTTTATGCTTTGCTTGGAAGAAATTAAAAGTAAAATTAACGAGGTATTGAAAAACACAGTTAGTTAGGTCATTTTTGAGCAAGGCATCCTGGGAAACAGGCTCCATGCATGATGAGAGATTTTATTATTATTATTATTTTTAACTCTTTAACGGTTAGCCCAGGAATGCACATAGGTTTGAAACTGACAGAAATCAGTAAAGTTAATGAATGGAAAAGCAAAGCATGTGAAATAATTAGGGTAAAACTCTGGGGAAGGAAAAATATTGTTAGAGATTGCTGGGTGAGTGGGTTGATATGAAATAGGATTGAACACTATCAGGAAAATGATAGTATAGCTTCTGACTCTTAAAATCCACCCTCATTTGGACATGTGTTTGTGTCTAACAGAGCAATGTATAAAGATAACGAAAATGTCTCCAAAGTGTACAACGTCTAGAACCTGCTACCTTCCCTCAGCAAAGGAAACTCCTTCCCTATGGTGTTTACAACCTCACAACTAACAGTGACTATCTATGTGCTCTTGGGAGCTTATCCACAATTAATTTTCCAACTCTAATTTGTTTGTACACTGAAATATTCATTTTAAAAATGAAATCCAGCTATGGAGTCCTTTACATATTGTTTTATGCATGTTTGTCCCCAGTCAGGATGAAAGTTTTATAGCAAAGGGATGTAATAAGTCTTTGGGTCTGAGCAAGGAGCTGCACTCTCTTGCTCTGGTTTTGAGTCCCAACATCTAATTCTCCAGCTGTGTGAACTTTATTCTATGACTACTCTGAGCAACATTTTCCTCATTGGTGAGGTGAAGATCCAGGGCTACCAAACAGGGAGTGTGAAATGAGAAGATGGGAGAGAAAGAGCTTTAGACATTGTGGAGTATTATACACATGTGTCTGCGAAATCCAAGTCCTCAGATGGACATTCCAAGGGCAGCTGATGCCTGTTTAGTTTTTCTTTTTTGATGCCAGTCACATGACATATTTGTCTTAGTGATTAGGCCTAGATAAAAATTGGATGCTCCTAATGGATGATTCTAGACCTTAGTGGACAAGTAAAATCATGTCCCAATCACCAGTATTAAGGATGACTGAAAGATGGAAAATTCTTCAGGATAAATGTATTAGCCAAGGCAATGGTCACTGAAAAGTTTCTAGAAGTTTCTAAAGTTTCTAAGATTGTTAATACTTTACAAAGCACTTCAGTATAGGTTATGTATTTGTATTCTCCAAGACTGGAACTTGAACTCAGTACCTGAGGCTTTTGCTCATTGGCTAGCACTCTACCAGTTGAACCATGCCTTGAACTCCAACATTGGTCTATTTTATGAATGAAAAATATTAGCTTGGAGGCTAAGTGATTTTCTCTGAGGACAGTCTTGAGCACAGGTCCTTTTCAATAGATGTCACCAATGAGTGATATGAACAATGCAATGTCTACCCACTTAAGTAAACAGTATTTAATACCTGATTAGAAAACCACTTCTAGGAGAACTTACAAGGACCAGTGAGAACTATTTGGGTCACAGCTCAGGACATCATGTCAGGATTATTTCTAGTTATCAACTTATTACCTGCTTCATTAAGCTAAGTTTACCTTTGCAGCTGATTTTATTCAATACTGTTTTATGTTTTATTTGGATATATTTGTCCCTAGGGACCTTTGGTCTCATTCACCTTAATGCCATTAAAACTCTTTGAAACTAAACCTTCCTTAAACTCTTATTTCTCCTACAAGGGAATGCAGGAAAGTTGATGATGAAACTATAATGAGCAGACTGATTCTACATTAAGACTGAATTGTTTAGGTACTAAAAAATCTCTTTAAGCTAGTGCTGGTGGGTCATGCCTATAATCCCAGTTACTTAGAGGCTGAGATCTTGAAGATGCAAGTTTAAAACGAATCCTAGCAGAACAGTGTACCAGATTCCATCTCCGATTAACCAGCAAAATGTTGGACTAGAAGTGTGGCTCAAATGCTAGAACACCAGCTGTGAAAAAAAAGCCAAGTGAGATCTTGATGCCATTGGCAAATACAGTGGCTTTGACTTTTAAATTTCCTGTTCAGACACATAAAGATATGGTTATATATGGGTTTCTAAGTGGTCAGAAGACCTTTGGAAGGTGAGACGAAAAGCAAATACAAGAATTGAGAAAATGCACATGCTTGGATGGGTCCAACCTGCTTTCATACCATAAGCCAACAACATACTATGGAGTCAGTCATTGGACAAGTAGCTGCAGGCATTACTCCAAAGACCCAGGGTATAGATCATTTCCACAGTGTTGGGCCCACAGGCACTGCTAGGCTAGCCATCCACTGAGGCAGTCAGATAATGCTACAGGCTGATCCTTCTTGCTAGCAAATATTCTCCTCTTGCCTGGGGCCTGATGATGACAATAATGATGTGTGTGAATTTCTAATTAGGATGGAAGGTTGGTGGAGGTGTGTATATGTGTGTGTGTGTGTGTGTGTGTGTGTGTAGGTTGTGATAAGTTGCAGATAGAACCCAACATGTGTAGTGCAACCAAAGAGATTATTATTGACTGAATGCATCACCCCCAATTCATATGCTGAGCTTGACTTCTCCATATGGTGATGTTTGGAGATGGGGGCCCTGGGAGGTCATTAGGGTTAGATGAAATTATGATGGTGGGGTAGTGACCTTGTAAGAGATACTAGATATCTTGTTCTCTCTTCTCTGTGTCTGTCTGTCACCTTTCTGTCTCTGTCTGTGCCATATAAGACCAAAGGGAACAGGCAGATCTTTGGAAGCCACGAGGCCTCATCATAACCTGTACCTGTCGCCATCTTGGTTTTGGACTACCAGGCTCCAGAATCAAGAACACAAATTTCAGTTGCACAAGCCAATGAGTCTGTGGCATTTTGTCATGGCAGTCTAAGTCTACTGGGACAAAGATTGGTTGTTTATTCATGTAAGGGAGATAATTGTGTAAAACAGAGTTGAAGGGCGGAAGGACTCCTATGGTAGAAAGCGCAGTAAAAGGTACTTTTGTATTTGCCAAGCATAGACTTGACAAATCATGCAACGAGATTAGGCATTTTATAGCTTTTCTAAAATGCTGAATAAACTGACTAATGTCAGAGAGCAGGTAAACTGCTGAACAGATGCGAAAGAGTTGTGTGATGACCCCCTCAGTTCTCCTTCTAGGATAAAAACATCAAATCAGTTGTGGGATACAAAAGCCACAAGAAGGCAATTCTTTAACATTTCTAACTTACTGGCCTTTTGAAAAAAAATTTAACGAAGAGAAACCTGCTGCCTTTATAGCCTGTTAGTGAGACGTTCCCTTTATGTACTTTCAATAGAAGGATTTAAATTTTGTCAAAGAATACCACATCATTCATGTCATGTTTTGAGCTCTCCAAGATCCCCCAAGGTAGAAAAAGTCTTTCCCCCCACACGGATTAGATCATTGACCTTAGGCCATAGGAAGATTAGCCGCACTGTTTAGAACCGCACCGGTTCACCACTGTGGTATGGAGATGTTAGCCTGAACAGCTCTGAGTTCGTGCATAGGTAACCAGATGGCTGTGTGCAATAGCTCCATAAATGAAGCAGAGAAAACGTTGTGCTTGCTAAAATTTTGTTATTGATTGGAAATGAGAAATTCACTGCAAACTCAAACTAGATAATAGAAAGGCATAAAGAAGAAGCTCTTTAAAAGACAACTGATCTAGCAACTACTTGAACGCAATGCTGCAACGTGTAACATTTAGAATATAAAAGGAATAAAATCATTAGCTAACGTTTATTGGGCTTTGAAAATGAGATTTTTCTATGAATGCTTCTCAAATCCTCCAAGACTTATAATATTTGCTGCCTAAACTTGCCATACTTTTTGAATTCTCTAATATTTGTACATTGGACAAAAATAAAAGACTCATATACCTACATTTAACTGGGTGCTTCTGATAAAATCCAGTATTGGCAAGATTCGTTTTCCCATTGTCTCCATGTGTCGTATTGTGTCTTCTCTGGTCAGCAGACAGAAAGGAGTTTTATGTTCTAGAAATTGTAACAATAAACTTTTATACTATTCTTTCTCCCCAGACTATCATTTCAAAATGCTTTCTTTAGTAAGCTGTACACAGGAATCTCAGTATTAATAGATAGAAAATCTTTAGTATAGAAACTAGTCTCACCCAAGACCACACATGTCACAATGAGAGGAGAAAGGCAGAGGAGACATTGTCCTTAGAAACTGTCATGTCTTCATTTTGCCGTGTTTCTTGATGGAGAGATCTGAGACAGCTGGTAACAAATCACCTATCTCTGCAGAGTATGATTTTTCCTGAGTTGTGAAAAAAATGTTGTCATCAATGTGTCTGATTCTTGTCGTGTTTCTCTCAGGTATTACTCGAGTGTGCAGCTATTGTTGCCTATGAATGTTGCTTGAAGCTGACATAAGCTTCGGATGAATCAGAGCCAGACACATCACAAATTCTTAATTACGTGGCTACAGCTGAAGGAATACATTCAGCCTGGTTGTGAATTTGGTTCATAAGTTTGCAACTTTACTTCCTTGTGAGTATTTCTTAAGAATGGAAAACTGCAACCAGAATTATTGAACCTCATACTCTTTAGGGGATCTAAGCTCTTGGCTAGTTCCTTAAGAAAGGGGGAGAACTGATGTCAGCTACTGCATTGACGGAGAATTCAAGTGATTCAGACGGGCCATTCTAGTTTTGTTGTGTAACCACCTTTTCCATTTGCTAACTGACTATGAAAGCTTGTATTCTGTCTGTGCTTTATGATGAGGCCTTGGTTGGTGGGCATGGTTGGTAGTTGGAGAGGGTTGGAGTGCAGGGTGAATGCTCCAGAATTTTGTGTGCTTTTGGGGAAAATGCTAACCAATAACCAGAATCCCAGCTAAGATGAACTAATCTGTCCAGAAGATGAGAGAGAGAGAGAGAGAGAGAGAGAGAGAGAGAGAGAGAGACAGAGACAGAGACAGAGACAGAGACAGAGACAGAGACAGAGAGACAGAGACAGAGAGACAGAGAGACAGAGAGAGAGAGTTACAACCCATACACTACTCCATCAGAGATGAATAGCACAGAATTCCAGTCCAGGAACCATAATGAGAGATAATAGCAAGTCTGAATGGCTCACCTGTGAATGTTGGCAGCTTCCTACTTGACATCTTTTCCAAAAATTTTCCATCATCTTTGTTTTTGAACCCAAGAGTCAAGAGATATTGTTGAGGAGGAAAAGATGACCAGTCAGTGGTCTGAGGCAGCATATGGAGCCCTTGGAGATCTGAAAAATGGCAGACAAACAACTAAGAGATCTTTGCTACAGCCTGGTTGTTTTCAAGAGCTCCTTTCTCACAATTACCCTAGGGGGAAAAATGATAAATATCAACATTTAAGATACAAAGTCAGATTATATGTATCAGATGACCAAATAGGTAATCTTCCCAAATCAGATTTTATTATTTCTTTTTTATTTTAATAATTTTTAATTTCATAGTGACTTAAACATACACAAATTATATTAATAAGATATGACAACATGATGTGATTATCTTCCAAAGTAATAGATGTCCAGGACCAACTTGCAGATTTGGTATTGTTTTTGGTGACTCTTCTTTTTTCCCAAGAAAATTTGATTTTTTTTCTTTTTGGTTTATATTTTAAATCTAAGGAAATAATGTTATAGAAAGGAAAGAGAAAAATTACCAAGTGAGAATTAAAGTACAAGGCTAATCAATTTAGTTACCGACCTTCCTACAGTTATAGAAGGAAATTTAAATTGATAAATGCACTGACTCTTGTAATTTGACTTGGAAATAATTCAAGTGTCATGGCCACAGTTCTAAAACAAACTCAGTCCTTAATGACTCAATCCTTGAGAGCTGATACTGAGTGCTTATTTTCTAAGAGTTTTGTGTGCATTAACGCTGGGGTTCCTGCTGCCTCCATGTATAGATATGAAGTGGAAGGGTATAGAAGGGAAACAATTTGCCTGAGAAAAAAGATGAAAATGGATCAAACAGGATTCAAACCCAGGCACTTGACTACAGGGAGGTCCACCCACTATTATTTTTGGGTAGGAACAAATCCCAGCCATGGAGTCTGGAAGGCCAGGTTTACCTAATTCATTAAGCTTTGTTTTATTATAAAAGACTTCTCAAATAACAGTGGATGAATAGAGAGGTTTAATAAGTTCTCTCCCCTTAATAATGCCAGAAAGGGCAAAAAAAAGCAAATTCCAAATATCTCTGAATTATGATTTTGTTAAAGATCAATTTTTAACCTATATTTAAAACTCAGCTGCTCCAATATAGCTTTCATTTTATAATGGTGATATGTCTATAACATATATATGCTGGGTGCTATGGCTCATGCCTCTCTTGCTAGCTATTCAGGAGGCTGAGATCTGAGGACTGTCATTCAAAGCCAGCCTCAGCGAAAAGTCTGTGAGATTCATCTCCAATCAATGGGGAAAAAAGCCAGAAGTGGAGGAGTGGCTCAGTTTAACAAAATGAGTACCAGGAAACTGAAACACATGTTATGTTAGAAGCTGTGGGGCGTGGGGAGTGGAAGTCAAGGGCTGGGGGCAGATGAAGGGAGAGAGGAAGGGCGGGCAAATGCAGTCAGAATATGAGCTGTCCATATGAGAAAATGGAACCAGGTAATTTGAGTTTGGGACAGACGAGAGACAATGATAAAAGGGGTGACAGGGATCAAGATGCACCGTATTCACAAACTGACATGTTGTATTGAAACCCCTTTGTACAACTACTTAAATAAAAAGTAGAAAACAATTGCAGCAGATAATCACAGATCTATTATTTGTTCACAGTCTAGTTCCCAAGACAACAAAGGATGAATTTATCAGTGAATAGCACTGGGATGAAGTATTTTGGCCTCATTGTTGCCCAAGTTAGATGTTTGAGGATTCTTGAAGACACAGCTCATGGACTTTGAGAGTTGGTTGTTTCTTGCCCTTGACTAGTTGTTGGGTTAATCCTGCCAGTGATTAGATGGATAGGAAAATTAATGCTACCTCTACAGCTCATGCATTACAAAATATGATCATGGATATAAGAATTTTATGCTCCCTTTGGTTCTATGTTTTTCTCTGTGAGTATTCAATATTAAATTTCAGGTGAAGTGATTGTGTGTGTGTGTGTGTGTGTGTGTGGTTTGAACTCAGGGCCTTGGGCTCTTAGCTTTATTGATTAATGCTGGTGCTCTACCACTTGAACCACAGCTCCACCTCTGGCTTTTTGCTGGTTAATTGGAGATAAGATGTCAAGGATTTGTCTTCTTAGGCTGGTTTTGAACTTCAATCCTCAAGATCTCAGCTTCCTGAATAGCTAGGTTTAGAGGTGTGAGCTGTTGGCACTCAGCTTCAGGTAAGGTTTGAAATGTATATATACTGTTTAATTTAGAAAAAAAATTAAAGTATCATTTTCCCCCACTTGTATGCAGAGTAAGTTGCAGTTGTTTGAACTTGTACCCTAGCAGGTGGTCTAGGACCGCCAATGCTGAATCTCATGCAACGTTAGTTAATTTGAATGTTAATGAAAGATTTCATGCTTATAAACCTCTACCTATATCCAAAAGCCTAGTGAGCCTGGTGGATGTGAACGTTCATCAGATTATATTGTCCTTTGGTACAAAAGTAGAACTGATTTTTTTTTTTTTGCCAGTCCTGGCGCTTGAATTCAGGGCCTGGGCACTGTCCTTTAGCTTCTTTTGCTCAAGGCTAGTACTCTATCACTGGAGCCACAATGCCACTTCCGGCTTTTTCTGTTTATGTGGTACTGAGAAATCGAACTCAGATCAAGGCGAGCACTCTACCGCTGAGCCACATTCCCAGCCCTGGAACCGATTTTTGGAATGTCTTTTCTTTTTGTTCCCATTATGTCAAGAAAACTTGTGAGAAATAAATCTTTTTGAATGCATTCAATTTCATTGATCACAACTGGAGGTCAAACATCAATGACTGGAACAGAAAGTTAGGATGAAAGTCTAGTGTGCTGGTGAGACCTGATCCTAAGTTTCATCATAAGAAAAGTGGATGCTTTTCCTTTTTTTTTTTTTTGTGCTGCTACTGGGGCTTGAACTCAGCGAATGGGGGCTGTTCATGAATATTTTTGCTCAAAGCTAGAGCTCTATCACTTGAGCCACACCCCCACTTCCAGCTTTTTGGTGCTTAATTAGAAATAAGAGTCTCATGGCATTTTCTGTCCAGGTTAACTTCAAAGCGAGATCCTCAGATCTCAGCATCCTGAGTAGTTCGGATTAAAAGCAAGAGGCACTGGTGGCAGGCACAGATTCCATTTCTTACAAAAGCACAGTTTTCTCTTCTCTTCCCAGTGAAAGATGTCAAATTCCTAGTAAAAAAGGTTAGTTTTCTATTTACAATAGAAGGCTGGAACTGGCCAGTTTTCAAGTCTTTAAGATCTTTAAGCTCTTTGATCTTGCTGTACTATTGTTCCTTCTTTAAAAAAAATCATCCTGCTTAGAGTTCAGCCATAGTCTCTGTCTCTGTCTCTCTTACACACACACACACACACACACACACACACACACACACACACACACACACACACACGCGCTCCTTTTCTCATCCTGCCTTCTCCTTCAGTGTTTCCCAAAGCTGTCTCTGGTCCCTTGGCATTATCATTACACATAAACCCTAGGAGATGTCTCTAGTCTTGTGGGCTTAACTATTATTTCTAACTGAAACATTAGTATAAAAGCTATTGCCATACATAAACATACATAAAATATCACCAAATTCAAAAACATTTCCAAATACCTCTGGGGACAGTCCATTTCCCCTCCATCCTTCCCAAAGTTACTTGAAATAGAGCACATTTGTTTTTCAAAAGTGATTTGTATGTTCTCTACAATTTCCCTTCTTTGGTTTTCACTGGCATGTTATTGAGATAGCCATTATTCAATCAATTGTTCTGGCTTAAAAATCTGCAGCCATTGTTGACTTGTCTTTTCTGTAATTCCTTGACATTTAGGGAGTCTCAAAAACTAATTAAATCTGCCCATCGCAATCCAGCCCATATCAGCTCATTTCTTTCCATTGTCCTTGTCTTCACCTTGGCCAAATTTCTCATCACACAAGTCTCGCTGCTACCCCTGTTAGTCCATGCCACCGTACCTCTGGGCCACCACCCAGAACTATTGCTGAATGCCAACTCTGCCATTGCTACGCCTCTCCTCAGAGCCACAGTGACTTCTTTCTGGCAGTCAGGGTTCTCAACTGTGTGCATCTACTTCAAGATCTCTGCCTTATTTTTCTGTGTTTTTTATTTTTTCAAAGCAAAATCCTTTTGTAGTTGTGTTTGTAGCAACCTGTGTTTATCCTGCCTCTAAACTGTTTATTTTCATTCCAGAAACATCACATCTTATATCCATCCTCCATGCTTCCATTGATTCCTGTTCTTCCAAATGTGCCTTATCCATAAGTTTCCTGAATGTTCCAGATTCTTCCCTTCATGCTCTTAAAAAATCTGTACTTTTACTTCAGGGAATTGCTCAGTTCATGTGGGATAGATCTTAACTCAACAAATTTTAATGCTGTGTGTGTGTGTGTGTGTGTGTGTGTGTGTGTGTATGTTTGCATCTTCTGATTCTAGAACTTGAACTCAGGGCTTTGAGTCTCCCTGGGCTTTTTTGTTCAAGATTGGTGCTCTACCACTTGAGCCACAGCTCCACTTCCAGCTTTTACTTGTTAACTGGAGATAAGGCTTTCCTGCCCAGGCTGACTTTGAATTGTGAACCTCAGCTCTTCCCCTGTTGAGTAGCTAAGATTACAGGTGTGAGCCACTGGTGTCTGGCTTCTAAATCCCTTTATTTTTTTCACTTTTATTTATTTTTTATTGCCATTATTAAGGTGTTGTACAGAGGGGTTGCTATTTTATGTCAGGTAATGAGAGTATATTTCTTTGGACAATGTCACCCCTTCCCTCACTCTTTCCTAGTTTTTTTTCCTTCCATCTCCACCCACAAGTTGTATAGTTAGTTTTCAACACAGTGTCTAGTGAGTACCACTGCTGCATCTGTTTATCCTTCATCCCTCTATTTCTGTGCCCTTCATCCTCTCAAAGACAGATAAACGAACAAGGCAAAAAGAAAAGAAAACAAATTAACAAAGAGAAAACCTTTCGTTTCAATTTCCTGGAGTTTATTTTGACTAATTTTGACCAATTTTTAATGATTTGAGTAAGAAAAAAACCAGCAACCTACCTTACATTAATAAAATACCCCAAACTTCTGAGATATGAC